TTCCATGTAAAAGTGATTCATCTCACTGTGAGAAGCATTTATTTTATGAGTAGTTTTGCAGCTAAAATCAATTATAAATTACTCTAGTCAGGTCTTGGGTTTCACAGGTGAGTCACAGTTTTCTTCCTTACCCTTTGTCTCAGGTGGTGAGTGGCTCCTGGCTGCCACCCTTCCCTCACCAGCATAGATCCTGCTCATCTGTCCCATATGGCCAAACCAAATCAGCATACTGCTTCTAGCCTGCTTCACAAATGATTCTCTCAGATTACATTTGTAAGGAGCAGAGCACCAGTCCTCACAAGTCCATCAGCCCCAGGACAAACAGCACAGCAGAAGCTACGACTGAACAAAGCCTGGCTTATTTTTAACAGCACAGTCCTCAGCACTGTCAAGGGCGGGTGGGTACAGCCGCTGAAGGAATGTGGTCCGCTACTGAATGCACAAAAACAGCTGAAGCATCCCCTTCTGAGCAGGGTACTCCGAGAACTACCGATCGGGAATTAGGAGGGGAAGACAACATTTGCGCAGAGAGAACTGGTCATTTTTCTTTTAGAAAACCATTCTGCAGCAGTGAGACTGAGGGTGTACGCCTTGGACTGCAGCCTATTAGCAGTATTACCATATTAATGATTTAAAGGTTTATGAATGCTAAGAATGTAAGAGGTCAGTTTGGCCCATGGCCAGGACACAACCCACTGCCCGCCCACAGTGAATAATCCGTTTCACGGTCCGTTTGTTAAACAGTGTACCAGAATGCAGGAGGATATGGAGTTACAATATATGTTGACTGCACAATTGAATGCCATTGCTTTGCGCGAAGGGTGTGGAGACGCAGTTGTTGCCTGTGCATGGGAGATTTGCAGAGAGATACATCTCTGTTGTGTAAAATGATTCCATTGTGGTGTCCCGTCTCTGTTCTGAATAGGGACTTTATGTGTGGCCTGTATGATCTGTCAGGAATAGGGTGCAACTCTAAGCCAGTCAAAAGCTTTTTATCTCAGGACAGCAGTTTGGTTAGTATAGAAGGCAGTTATGCTAAAAATGCTACATAAACAAGGAGGCTGACCATTTCTATATGAAAAGACTTTATACGAGCTACAGATAGAGCGAAACAGATATAAATGTTGTGGGGTTTTTTTTAAAGTTTACATTTGCCTTCCCCCTGCCCCCAAGTCATTAAGTATTTTTAGTTTGAATGTGGCCAAAGGGAAAAGGTGATGGAAGGCCACAAGAGGAACAGCGTAACAGGTCGCATGTGTAAAGGGGTCAACAGAGCAAGTTACAGAAAAATAGCAGAAGGAACGGAGTGCTTGAAGCCAGTGGTGACACCTAGACAATGGCATCAGACATAGAGAAAGGTTTAGATGAACAAAAACAAGAACAGTGCAAAAAGTGCTGGGAGCTTCCAAGTGAAAACCAGAACGTAGCAGTTGGAATTTTCTGGTGAAAGAAAACCAAACAAACACCAAAACTAAACCAAAAACCCCAACCCTTTGGAGAGGTAGAAGTCATGGCAACAAGAGTGACTTTTACCCATTAGATTGCTGCTGCCTTTAGTCATTGCCCATGGCTGCTAGTAACAAAACCTGCTTTGTTTTCACTAATCATAACTCTTGTGAAAACTAAAGGCAGTACCATGTCAAGGCTAGATAAGACTAGTTGAGAGAGAATTGTTTGCTGAATTCAGTGGTCACAGAGATGACATTATTAGAGACTGTGCTTTTCTTATTTTAATGAAATTCTGATCTTAATGTAGTTTACAGAAAATACTTGTAATGACAAGGAAAACCAGTTTGATGATCCCATCCAAAGATGAAATTACTTTTCTGGGAGACTGGAATAGCTAGCTATTTGCAGCAGCTAATTAGTAATTTCTGATTTCAGATAAAATGGACTTATTGTTGAATAATCAATTGTCTCTGAAAACACATCAGTTATTCTGGAAGATATTGACTTTTATTTGGAAAGCATGATCACTCAGGGAGCTGAGTGCAGATTAGAACAATATTCTGTAACTGTTCTAGGCAGCTTTTCTCAGCAACTCCCCTAAGTGTGCAACAGTAGGAAAGCTGCAGCTGGGAGAGCAACTAAGTTAAACACATTTGGTACAGGAATCACTGAAATGATGCCATTTGCATTTAAGCTTTTCAGGAATAAAACAGAGAATACCATAGACTTCAGTTTGTCTAGCTCAATAATGAATCAGTAGTCCTTATGCTTAAATAAGATTATTTATTGTTTTCTTGCTTATTCTTTTCTGGGTTTTGAGGTGGGGGAAGAGCATCTGAAAACACTATTTAATAAAGAGCAGCAGCAAACCAAGTCACTTACCTATGCAAGGGAAAATGCTTTGTAATTAGAAGTGCTTTTAACATAAAGGATTATGGACTTCACAGTGTAATTACAAAATGTGTCAGAAATAATTATACCTGACTTTAAAGGACTTCTTAGATGTCTGAGATTTCTCTGGGTCTGTAACAGACTGACTAGCCACATCATTAAGCTACTGTTGTCTGAGGATCTAAGTTTTTTTTTTTTTATTTAAACACACAACAGAATCACAACCAACATGTGACAAGTTACATTACTTAAAAAACCCCAAACCTAATCTATACATAATGTATGCTAATTAAAGCAGACTTTTAATAAAACTGAGGATCAACTTTTTATGTTGAAACTGCATAGAATGCATTATCCTGATTCTAGAGTCTATTAAGACATACTATATTTCTAGTGTTCTCTTTCAAGTGATAATTAATATTAATAAATATGCCTAACCAAGAACACATTAGGGGTGGAGCCTACTAACGATTCAGGCTGATGGATGACCTTAGAACAACCATGCCTGAGACTGAGGTTAGTAAATGGTTTGTATCATGACAACTGAAAATATTAACCGTCTTGTGTTTGCAGAGGAAATCTAGCTATACACAGCTGTGAAAAGCCATTCAGAAAACACTCCAAAAGATTTTTTTTCCAAATTTACTGGTCATCTATAGCACAGACAGCTTGTTTTCTGCTTATTTTTACTTTTGACATTTTGTGCTTGCAGTGGATTAACCTTGGCTGGCTGCCAGGTGCCCATCAACCTGATCTCTCACTCAGTCTCCTCAACAGGACATAGGGAGAAAGTAAGATGAAAAAGTTTGTGGGTCAAGGTAAAGACAGGGAGATCACTCACCAATTACTGACACCAAAAAAAGCAGACTCAACTCAGGAAGATTAATTTATTGTCAATTAAAAATAGAAACAAAGACAAAACTAAAACCACCTTCCCCTCACGCCCCTCTTGTTCCCAAACTCAACCTCACTCCTTCATTCCCAACTTCTCTACCTCCTCTCCCTGGCCCCATGCTGGGCAGGGTAATGGGGATCATGATCAGTCCACAGCAGCTCCTCTCTGCTGCTCATTTCTTCTCATGCTCTTCCTCTGCTCCAGCATGGGTCATCCCACAGGATAAAGTCCTTCAGGAACTGCTCTTCAGCGTGGGTCTCCCACGGGTTCTATCAGAAATCCCATTCCTGCATGGGCTCCTCTCTTGCCAGGAGCCTGCTCATGCATGGACTCTCCACTGGCTGCAGCTTCCTTCAAGGCATGTCCACCTGCTGTGGAGTGGGGTTCTCTATGGGCTCAGTGTGGGTATCTTCTCCAGTGTGGTCCTCCATGGGCTGCAGGGGGACAACTTGCTTCACCACAGGCCGCAGGGAAGATCTGGTCCAGCACCTGCGGCATCTCCTCCCCCTCCTTTTCTGACCTGGGTGTCTACAGGACTGTTTAGCTCACATTTTTCTCAGTCCTCTCCCACAGCTGCTACCCAGCATTTTTTACCCTTTTAAAAATGCTTTCACAGAGGCACCACCAGCTTGGCTGAAGTGCTCAGCTCTGGACAATGGTGGGTTCATTTTGGAGCCAGCTGGAAGTAGCTCTGCACAAGGCAGAGGCAGCCCCTGATCTCTAGTCACAGAGGTCACCCCCACAGCACCCTTCTACCCCCCACTGCCAACACCTTGCCACTAAATCCAATACAGTGCTATTTGAAGCTTTTCCACAGCAAGAAATCAGACCTTGGTTCTCCCACAAGAGGGGAACTGCTCAATATACAAGATCCACAAGACACCCTTAAAGTGAGTACAGGACATACTTATTACAGAGAAGTGCAGTGGACTAATCCCACTTGCATGCTATTTTTCCTGAAGACTCAGTTAATCCTGAACTAGACAAATCTAATACTTTGCTAAATCCAATATTTCCCTGCAATCAAATGTGTACTACTGTATCTGTAGGTAAATGACTGCAGGAAGCTTTCATGAGGCATTATAAGAGGCCCTTGATCCTTACAATATTTAGTGAAAACCAGAGATTGCCAAAGCTTTCCATCTCTGGTACTTTGTAGTCTTTTGCAGCTTTGGTAAAAGATAGAGCAAGACATTCCTTTCATATGACAGGAAACACAGCCTGCAGTTTCTCTGAGGCCAGAAAGTGAGTCAGCAGTAAAGAGTTAAGAGTTCAGAGCCACATAATAGTATCCAGCTACTTCACTACTGAAGTCTAGCATTTGGAAACTGCCTGTGCCAGACCATTAACATTCATTATTATTTCAGGAATAAGTTATTCTGGAAATTAATAGAAATGACATCCAAAGCCACATTTGATTTTATTTATTCATGGACAGTGTTCCTTATAATTGGCACCACACATCAGAAAACATTGCCATTACTGACACATAATTCTCATCCATCTCAATTTTCACAGCAAGTTAAACTACTGAGCTTGAAAATTGTGAAGTGGTAAAATGCTATCTTTTCCCTTAGAAAAATAGCAATCCACATGTTTAGAAACATCTTAACCTCATATATGACAAAGTAAGGTAGAAAAAGCAGTGATAAACTCTAAACCCCACTAGGATACTTAGTAATACATAACTGAAGTGGTATGTTAATCACATTAATACTCCAGTAAAACTTGAGGCATCAAGTCAAAAATATACTTTGCACTTTGTTTTTGAACTTTGTGTTTAATTAAAGAAGCTTGTGCCTTTAGTTCAAGTGCTATCTCATAAAGAAGCATGCTGAAATGATTTTAAGTTATAATTATAGTCAGTTACAATAATTATATGTAGTTATCTTCACAGTTAGTATTCAGAATTACCAACATTTCCTGAATTGTTAACACCTACCTCTCTACTCACTGTACTGAAAAAACTTCCAGCTCAGTCCTCTTTTCCTTTCTTTATCCTTCCCTTCTCTGTAGGGAAGGGATTCAGGATGTTTCCTAGAGCATATTCCAAATGGTCTAAGGAATTTAGATTGCCTTTTCCTCTTCCCCTGGACAGAAGAGTTTGTAATCCTATTTCTCCTGAAAGAATAGGAAGGTGCAAGAAAGCAACAACTTCACATGTTTATTAAAGAAAGGAAATGAAGTAATGATAAATTACACACACAAAAAAGTGACCAGATTCTTCATTCTAGTCATGAAGAGAGCAACTTTGTTTTGCCTGCAGAACATGAACAGTGCCTGAGTCAACAAGATCAAGTACTTCAGTGAAAACTCCTTTTTTGGTAACCAGAGAGTATGACTTGGTGCATTGTTAGTAAGTGATGCAAAGCAACAAGCAAAAAGGGCCAGTGCAAGCAAGGAGGCAGTAAATGTGTTTCACACCTTGACAGGTCACTGCTACCAGCCTTGACTGCAACAGTAACAAGTGTAGATTAACTAAGTTTATGGGGAGTAAAACTAAAGCTAAAATGTCAAGTAGAAAAGCTAGCTGTTTCTCTGCATAACCTGCAGTTAAGAGCCTGTGCTTTTAGTTTTTCTGTCTCTTACTAGATATTGTACACCACTTGTATACAATTTTCTGAAAGGCAGATAATGCTGAAGTTGTTCTTTGTTGTGTACCATACACAGCTGAAGTAAAATCTATGCTTCCTAAGCAGTTTGTAAAGAAAAAAAACCCAAAACCAAACTGGTTCCAATGCAGAGAATGACAAAATCCTCCAGTTTGACCCATAGCCAAAATGTCATCTCTGGAAAGAAGTTGGTACAGTAGTAATAAATATCATCCCCCAAATACTAAGCCTGTGGCAAAACCCAGATTCAGAAGGAATTAAACAATTTCAGACACAACTTCCAAGACACTCCTCCCATTTTGAGGAAATATCAAAGATAAGTTACTTTGTTTGCATGTTGAATTAGAGGGATATGCTCTGAGATGGAGACTTTGCAGCTCACATGACCTTCAGCAGCTCAAGTTTTAAGTATTAAGCTGTCAAGGCAGTAGCTGCTCAAAAACATTGCAAATCCATACTGAGTTAGCATTTTAGAGCATGTTAGGGTCTCAGTGCCATCAGAAACTACAGTGTTAGTTCAGCAACAATTGCCTCTGGCTGCAGAAGGCTGGAATTTGAAATCTGCACAGTTCAGACTTGCAAAAGATTTTGTATTACAGATGTTGAAGAGGCAATTCACTCAAAGCAATACTGAACTATGCAAGTCGTGGGATTTTTTTTTTAAATTCTTGGCACTCTCACCCTTAGCAACAAATATTCTTACGAGCATGACACAGTTTGCTTTCAAGAGGTATGCTTGTTTTAATAGAAAAAATAGTCCTTAAAAGCTGAAAGAATTAATGGCAAAGTCCTTGCCATCAGTTAAATGTAGTTCCTTCATAGGAACTGGTTAGGGGTAGAAAAACTTTGGCCAACAGTTATATCATGGCAAAAATCATTTGGGGGGTGCGTGCTGTCAAGAACAATACAGATGAAGTATAAAGTTTCCATTTTAATATAACCTCTTCCTCAATACTCAGAATAGTTTGTTTTATTCTGAAGGAAACCTGATAGTGCTGCAACCTACAGGCACTCTTCCCTGTGAGAAATTAAGAAGGAACCAGCCCTCCTCTTGTCTGGAGCAGTGTGCTCTCCCCCCCTCCTCCAGCAAACACTCAGAAGTAAATGGGAAACAACAGAAATTGGGGAAAAAAACCCCAGGGTTTTTCTTAGCTGTCTACTTATTTGTAATACCATTACTGAAGAGACAGACAGAAACATACTGAACTTGTGTCCATCAGTCCCTTTAAAACTTGGATTTAGACTGCTTTTCATCACAACAGTGATTTGAAAGATGCAGCTCCAGCTAGGTAAGTCACATCCATAAAGGGAAGGCAAAAATAAGGATATAAAGGTGAAATTTGAAGGTAAAAGTGAGAAAAATTTCCCACATATTAGTGACATTTGAAGTGAACAGACCCAGCAATGGAATATGTCCCACCAACCATGATGGTCTTTTCAGCCCACTGCACCTCTTAGCAGATTAGGTTTTCTTCCAACTGATCAGTGCAGTGGATGCATACAGTTAATGGATTCCTGGCTCAGCAGAGGCATGCAAGCACTGGGGGGTCCACACGGGTCTTTTCCCTTTTGCTCTCACTGCTTTCTTCCCCTGCCCCACTCGTTCACTCTGTCACCAGAGCTTCTCTTCCTAGCTGTCACCTCCTGCCAGGTAAGATGCATTCACCTGTATGTGCTGTTCCTAACAGCTTTCTGTATTAAGCAAAACCATAATTTACTACAATTCATGAGCAAGCAAATTAAAACCTGAAAAGACACACCTATGAACGAACAAAGTTGGGCTTTTTCCCTTCAGCAACAGGAGTTTGTATTTTGACACAAGATGCCTAACACTGATAGTTTTCCAGTTTTCTACACTGTTGAGAAAAAGCTTGCTGGAGGCTGGTCATACTAGCAGTTCACTAAACTGCAGAAAACATTGTGGACAATTCTAGGGATTAAAAACTTTGCCCTTTAGTACAGCTTGTCTTGGGAGACTATGAAACAGCAAATATCCAGCTTAGAGCATATATATATGTCACACAAGACTTAGATAGCATCCTGATGCTCTCCCCTAAACACAGGGGCATCAAAATCCAGCATCTCTTACATGTACCTCAAGTACAACTTGGGATGTAGTGTCATCTTGTAACTGAACAGTAAAAATTACAGAAGGGATGGTTTACTTGCTGAAGCTTCCCTCAGAGGTTTACTTGTAAACCATATTCATAAAACTATGGCAAATTATTCAATACTTCTGGCAGAACTGGACATCAGACCCATTAAAGAAATATAAAGTTGAGCTTTACTAACCTGAATGTTCTGTAGATTTGAAGAAAAATGTAAAGAATTATAATTAAATGTTTTTACTTGTTTTAAGGGAAGTAAAGATAAGTTTTAAAATTCTGCTTATTAGTTGCACTTCTTCCAATTAAGACTTCCTGAGTGTAGTCAGCCACTGAACCAGGATTCAATTGTATTGTGTAGTTCCACTGTTAGCAGGAGTAAATAAGTCCCCTTCACCCTTTTCTACCTCAATGACAGTTGGGTACTGATAACAGCACTGTTATGGATTAAAACCAAAACAGTCCCCCTTGCCCCCACCTTAGATCCCAGTCTGTTCAGAAGGCAAGTAGACAGCCATGAAAACACCCAACTGAATTGTTTTAACCAGTGCAAGAAATTTTCCACTGGTCACAAAGCACTCAAGTTTCCAAATATACTTATTCTCCATTTTGAGTTGCTGGGGAAAAAACCTGCCCTCTCTCCTTTTGCCAAATTCTCAGAGATTAGGCACCCACTCTTTTGCTGTGTTAAAAGCCTGTAAACACCAAACATTTTATGACTAAGGCCTACAAGCATTCCCAAATGGGAAAAATGTTAGTTCACATCAGTGGACATCCCCTTACTATAACATCGTTACAATCAAAGCTGGGCAAGAGAATGTCTTTAAGCAAAAGGATCCGATACCAGAAGTGCAGCTGTGCTCACTACTCCCGCCTTGATCTTGTACACGTGCCATCTTCATCATATTCACCCATCAACTGCAACATGTATGTTCCAGTATAGAGAAGAAACTGTCCAGCTATTTGTGCTCCGTGGGATATTAGCTGAAGCACCTTCCTAGAAGAAAAGCCATTTGTTTTAAAAAAAAAAAATCATCAGCAGGATGACATTACCCCTTTCTCCCCCACCCACAACACCTTTAGGATATTTAAGAACTCTCTCATTCCTTCTCATTTCTGACAAGCAGGTCATTTTTATACCTTCTTTAGAAAAAATACTTCTGTGGCCATCAATTAACAGAAAACTATCCACATGCTGGCAGAACCAGAAAACACATTTAACAAAGGCTGTCATCCTGTTAGACATTCACAGGCCTGCAAAGCCACCACTCAAACTACCAGAGCATGACTGAAGACAAGTTTGTCTGGAAGCCCAGCAGCATTCCTAGAGTCTGAACTCACCTCCTGTCTCACCTTTAGGCCATTCACTATTACAACACTGCATGTATCTCCAAGCCACAGATCAAATTTGATCAAATCACACTATAGTGGATGCCCAACAGCAAAACAAGTGAAGCCAGGCAAATTAATGCTGTCCAAGCTGCAAGCCTTAAGAATTATCAGTTCACAACTATTCTATTTTTTAAATATTTAGAAAGTATCAGCATTCAAATACATAATACTGCATGAGAATCAGTACAGATCCACAAACTAAGCTCAGGTAAGCATCAGAGGTCTACAGTATAAACTGTGGATCACCACAGGATCACAGGGGAACAGAGACCATTATATTTGAATGGTCATTTATTCAACTTAGTTATAGCTGTGACTTCCTTCCATTCTCTAAAAAAACAACAGGGACATCAGTACTAAGAGCTATATTGAAGCCTCATCCCCCCAAAATTAAGTAGACCCTCACAAGTATGAAGCTGAGGCATGGGGGAAGTGGTACACAAGAACAGGAACCATTCCAAAACTGGAAAGGGTTCAGTTTCTGAAAATGCAGAAACCAGAGCAGCCTTTCTCTGCTGCAAAAAAGGGGGAAGATTTTCTGAATTCGTGTCTGAGAAAACATGGAGCTGTGAACCCTCTGCTGCTATTCCCTTCTCCTTTGAGCTCTAGCAGAGAAGGCAAGTCTTTTTCCTACAAATTAATTCTTTTCCACTGTGATGAAAGAAGCTTTGCAGTCAAAATCCAATGCTTCAAAACAGTAGAATACCCTGTACTTAGACACAGGGAAGCCTTTAAAAAGCATGATACCCTTATTCATGCTTCCCATACATATGCCATTTCAGTGTGTCCTTCCCTCCACCAGATAGTACAGGCTGAGGAGCTTTACAATTGTAAAGAAAGCTGCACCTGGTACTGAGCTTTTGAGCAGCTGCAGTGTGTCACTTGCACACGAGCAGTTGTCACTTAAGCCATGGAGCAAGTTATTTGTTGAACTGGACATCTAATCCTTCGGTTGGACACTACAGAGAGAAACCGTTAAGGAAAATGCACTAATCAGATCCGGCAGGCTTCGAGCCCCTCCCACTGATGAACAACTGCAGCATTTTAAAGTCCTTTCCCTTCACACTCCGCAGGTGGGCTCAGGGAGAGTTCACAATGTGGACCTCATTAGCAGAGGGACTACACCAAGAACCTAATATTGTCTGTCTCCAATTTCAACAGCAAGTTGAGACAGGCCATCTCACTGTTGTGCTCAAGAGTACCCACGGTTATCTCTGTCACCTCTGTTCTTTGCTAGCAGACTATTTTCCCACCCTGACACTGGCGCTTCCCTTACAGCTCAACTCTGTACATAACAGGGCTTCCGGAAGACTCCACAGCTACTTCAGCTGTTTGCCAGCACCACTTCTTTCTCAACAGCTGCCCTGTGTTGGCAGAGAGGCAGAACTGTTACTTTGAACTCTCCTTAGCAGTGCAAGTTACAATGCTGATACTCATCTCCATAGCAGATAGCCAGAAATCAGTATGTTCTGGCTCAAGAGACTCAACAAACATAGGGACCAGAGGAGTGCAGCTGTTCAAGGGCAAACCTTTGTTTTGAAGAAACCCTAATGAAGCCAGTACTACAGGTGGGCATAGGATATAGCTGGATAATCACTGCAGCATGACCAGAGAGGACTCATCTCCAGTGACACCAGCTGTAGCCTGAAAGATTAAGCAAGGGACCACCTAAGTAGAGTTGGAGAGGTCAGCCAGACAGAGAACAAGATTAGCATTACAATGCTTAATACCTGCATCATGATAGGAGTGACTATTGAAGAACTTCAAACTAAAAACTACGGGTTGCTCAGGGGAAGCGGAAACCTCACTTAGGGCATGTACATCCGTGGTCTGTACAGAGCAGATCTGGTCCTCAACTAATAAAATGCAGCAACAGTACACTTGTGTCTCAACCAGAATTTGAAGGGTCAGGTAGAGAAATTCAGGGCTGCAGCTTAAACAGCTGTCAAAGTATGGCACCTTTGTGAAGGTGTCTGAACTCAGAAGTCTTCTTCAACCAGGGCAAGACACAGCTCGTTTGGACAGTGCACAGACTTTCAACACACCGTTGAAAGGAGTGGACAGGACAGGCATTATTTTGCCCCTGCATAAGACAGCATTGTCTCAACAGCCAGTTCCACCAAACTCACAGCTTTCCACAGACTCAGTCCCTGCAGGAGACAGTGGTTCTTACTAGGCACCATTAATTTGTTTGGAGACCTGTTGGCTTAAACAGTGACATTCAGAGTCTTAATTACAGATGACAAATTCACTTTAAGACAGCAGAGACCATCATATTTCTTTAATTTTCCTTTGCCTCCATGCAGCTCAGGCAGTGAATTTGGCAGCTACCTATTGCAAAGCCTGAGCAAGCTTTAAGAGTTCTGCCCTTAGATCTCAAATTCCTTTCATTTCATGCCCTTGAAGTCCCCCCTTCAAAGAGTCTGATGCTTCTCCCTCAGCCTCCTGCATTCTTCAAACAAGTGAAAGAAATCTGGGGAAATTCAGGAAAACAAAGAGATTGTACTTAACACCCTTGCAGTAAATACAAGCTGATACGATTATTGCCTTGGGGGGAAATTTAAGAATCCACCATAAAAAGCTACAGTAAGTTTTTACAAGTCAGCTATCCACCTTACAGAGGAAGATTCACCATATTGGCCAGTAAGAATGAATAAAACCACTAAGTTTATAAACATACCTGCTTCACAGAACCAATAAGCAAACACATATTTTATATTAACACATATGCCATATCAGTAGTGGAAACATACTTACCGCAGTACCCTTTTTGCTCCCATACATTTGATGTCATATGAGACAGAGTAGATCTCGTAGAAGGTCGCCTTGATGTTTAAACAGCCAATAAAATCCTTAGGGTTCAGCTTGTAGAGATCAAACGTGATGTTAGCTACTCCCATTTTCTTCTTTTGTCTCACAGTAGCAACTCCGTTTCTTGTCTAATTTAAAAAGCGGGAGAGAGCTTGTAGCATGAGCCAGGAAACTACAACAATACAACCGTTAACAGCACAGCTCTTTAGAAGCAGCTTGCTTATTCCTGTCTTGGGGCTAGTCCTCAATCAATTCTAAAGTAGAATTAAAAGCATTAGCACAGAGAAAAGCAACTCTGTAGTCCACGTAATTTTGTTCAAGTCCTGACCAGGCTTCTGAAGCTATTCTAGACAGACACAGAATTTCTGGAGTGACATAGCACCTCCTATTTCTTTCCTGTAATACAGCTTCTGCTTCAGAGTATACTGAAGCCACGGGTAATGCCACTGGACAGTGTTCCTGCCATTTCGTTATCTTGGTATGTCCCAGCTGCTAGCTGAGGCAGCAGTTAGTCCACACAACCAGGCCACCAAATAACCAGGATGACATTAGGTCCTTCCATCTAGGAAGGAACACAATACTGATGGGCACTCAGAGATAGCTGCAGAGATTACATCCATGAAAAGTTAAGTCCTCATTTTAATAACATCTTTCTTTCTTCCTACTAAAAAAGCAACACAGGGAGGGAACAACTACTGATTAGGCCTAGGGTTTAGTACTGAGTTTAAGAGAAAGAAGCATGTGAAGTCATCTTCCATCACAAATCCAGCCTCTTTTACTGAAAGTAGCCCTTGTCTGCTTCAGGGCTGACAGTGATGCTTTCAGGATCACTTGCTTTAAGGAAAAAAAGAAAAAGAAAATAATAAAAACCCGTATTAACAGGGACATCTAGTGGATACAGGGGATACTCTGCTCAGCACATTCTGCTCAAGGTTAATGACTTAGCAGCTGCCAAGCTGTTTTTTGCATGCTAAATGAAGCAATAAAGTTGTGTGAGACTGGGCCTTTTTGTACTTGTGACCCCAGCACTCTGACAGGGCCATGATAAGCCAGACCAAGTTAAACACTGTAGTATATCATTAGCCAGCAAGTCATACCCAGGCTGCAACTTCTTTTCTGCTCGTGGAGCTCACAGCCTGTATTCAGCAGGTTGATAATCCAGGGAGGGATCTTGGGGAAAAAGAATGTACAAACCACCCACATGCCAATAGCAGACTGAGAAAATGGGACCACACAACTGAGCTATCCATGTACAAACAGAAAAATGGTATGCCTGCTTACAGCTCCTCAGCTAGCTCCGCAGCAGGTAGAAGAAATTTTGATGCAAGCTCTCTAGCGACAACCATTTCATGGAAAGATAATTAGGAGTTTGACTACCTTATTAACATACAGATTACTATTCCTCCACAAAACCACAAACTGGACACTGAGTTGATATGAGACTAAAGCTAGCCCATCTTAGTTCTTAAAATACCTTGAAGCATGTAGACTAACACTAGGTTTTAATGACAATTTTTATCTGCAAGACTAAACACAGGCATTTTTCTAACCTTCACAATACCATTACTGCATTCACAAAGCAAAAACTTGTTTTACATTGCTTAATGTGGGCATTTTCTCCCCCTCTAAAAGCTAACCTTTAAAGACATTGTATTTTTAACTTCATGCAAAGTCCTAATTTTCTTTGTTATAAAAAGGCTCAAGAACAAAGTTATTTTTGAGTCTGTCTCTCTCTAAAAGCAGGGAATTTCCCCTATACTTTTAAGTTTTAATGTTTCATTTGAATTCCTGGCAGACCTTTGCCAACAGTTCTATGTCCAAGCAAGGCACAAAAAACCCCAAACCAATACAAAACACTTGAGCCTTCCTGGATGAGAAATCCTTGCCTTCTTTAGGGAAATTTTCTTCTTCTCCCCTCTTTCCAGCAATTTTAGCAGCCACAGACATTGTTCCATCCACTTCTATTGAAGAGAGAGGCAGTCAACACTTACTTGTGTCCATTTCTGTCCTTTCTCTAGAACCATGAAGTGTGTATTATCATTCAGAGACCTGAAGAACTCTTCTGTGTCCACAACAGTGCCATCTTCTTCCAAAACCAGAGTCACTATTCCAGCAGATATAAGGAAGGCATCTAAAGTCTGCAAAAAACCAGTAGATTTTAGCATTCAAAGGAGGGCCCATCATTTCATATGCAAGTCTTTATTAAGACTTGCTTATGTGATATATTCTCCTCAACTTCCCCAGTAATGATTTTTAGAAGAACAAGAGCCTGTGGGTTGCCTTTCTAGGATACTGTAATTCCCTATAAATTTCAGAGTGGGAATGTTTGCTATACCTTGCTGATGAGCTCTTGCAGACTGCTTGCAACAATTCCTTTCCGGCTGCTCCGGGAGGCATTCGACACACGGAAAGGTCGCCCTGCAGGCATGAGAGGAGGGAACAGGGTCTGTTTTGTTACTGCTCCCACAGATGCTCCCACGGATACCAAAGATCTAAGACAAATAAAAATTCAGCATAGTTATAAAAATAGTCAAGTACTGTGAGAAGGAGGAGAACTGTTGAGTTCAGTGAAGAAAGCACATTATGAGTAATTCATACATCACATTAGACTCATGGAGCTTGCTTTCAAAACTAAATACTACTAAATAGCCCTACAGACATGTTGTCTCTGAACTTTCTCTTGCCAGCAACATCTGAAAACACTAAAATTAAAAACATTTCAAGGAGATGTGGGCCACCTCTAGCTCAGCTGATGTCAAGGTCACGATTACAGTGAGTGTTAAAGGATTTTACTATTCCTTTTATAGTGAGGCCCTCAGGTTCTAACACTGAATTAGAAAGACAGCAGCTCTTACTGCATTCAGCCACTCAGATCATTCTCTTTACCCGCAAGATCAATAGTCAAAGAGATAACACACAAGACCACTTTCAACTATTTAAAGTACATGTTTGCTTTAGGAACACTGAACATATCCATATCCAAAACACCTAGCATCAAAACACAAGGGAAGCTTTTCCATAGTTATGCTTGACTTCCAAACAATCTTGTAAATAATATCTACAGCTTATAAAACTTAATCTATTTTTGAAAAATCACAAAATAAGACTTGTTTGTGCCCTAACATATCAAAAGAAGTAAAATGAAATGAAAATTAAGATCAAAATACATAAATGCATGGTGTTGGAACAGGCTGCCAGAGCGGCTGGAAGAAGTAAAACAATTTTAGAAAGAGGTTTTAAATTTTCCTGGGCAATCACATGTTTTAATAGTAACTGTTTATGTTCCCTTAGGTGAACTGAGTGCATAACACCGATAACTGCTTACTCCCACAGCAAGGTACAGACCCGATCCTATCTACATCTAGTGAGATGATACTGCTGCCAAATTCTATTGGTTAATTCAATAGTCAGGTTGCCAAAAACTGCCCTCTGCATGACACCTGGAAAGGACTGATCTCTAATAAGTTTTTCAAAAGGAGACAATATTTTGTCTCCTACATTCCTGGACTTTACCCTCGTATAACTTTTGCTCCTTAATACTGAATTGCACAGGACTGGGAAAGGAATGCATCCCTGTTTTGTTCTCCCACGTAGGTGTAAAAGGTCAACTTTATGTAGGAAAATCTGTTCTCAAACACTTTCACAGAGGGGAAGTGAACTGGCAGTCTCTTTCTGCAGCCAGAGACTGAATACGGGAATTCCTAGAACAATGATGAAATGGTATACTCAACTAATAACATCCCAGTCATACCTTTTGTGCAAGTCCACACTGACCAGGGAGAATAAGTCTTTTCCAAACCTCTTATCTGGTCTTTAAGCATATTTTTTGGAGGCCTAGAAAGTAACTTTTGTGACTGGCCAGAAAGAGTTTCAGCAATTAATTTATTTCCTGCTCTCATTCTGAACAGGTCTTCTAAAGAACTTTGAGCTATTATTGCCTTTCCTCTGTACACCAAAGTTTACCTTCCTCCAAAACTCTACAGCATTGATGGAACTTTTATCTTTTAAAAAGGGGGGGATGCTCAACAGTTTTATTCTAGCTCAAGCTAATACCTTCTTGGTAGTGTTGTCTAAACACTACTAGGTCCCTGTATTTCAAGTGTATACACACAGGGCTGGTGGAAATCTCTCTCCTTCTGTAATAAAGCTGGTGAGGGTGAGCAGTCAGTAGGGTTTTCAGGAGACAGGTACCGTTTCAAATCAAACAGCTGATAAGTACTTTCCTCCTGGAGAAGGGTCAAGACCAGGGAGGAGGACAAGGTGACTGACTAGCACTGACAAAGGCACTGAGGCTCCACAGAAGGCAAGTGTGTTAGAACAGGGCGTGTTTGTTAATCAGTTCACTAAGTTAATAATAGTTCCCCAATCACCCCACCAGGTCCATGGGCAGCTCCCATTCTGAATCACTCAAGCATTTCCTCAAATATGAAGTCTGCTCATCTGCCCCGGGGCTGCTGACTCCACAGGGCACCCTGATGCAAGGAAGTGCAATGCTCAGGATTCAAGAGAACACTTTCAGAGTTTGTTACATCCCATTCTCTCTCACACATTTGAAAACTGGCCCATAGAATAGTGACTTGAGTAGTATATATGACTGTACTGCCAAGATATTTTTTTTTGCCAGGACAGAAAACACCAGTCCTGTTGAACAGTTTTCTTTCCCATTACTTAAGCCAAGTTGTCATTCACAAAAGACAAAGCCTATAGAGAAAAGCCAAAACAAACATACATCCTTATACAGAAATTAAAGTGTTAGGGGCACAGCTCACGTGCAGGACTTGAGCTAACAGGCTTCACCTCAAGGCATTAGCACAGCCAACTCTACAAGCCATATTTTGCAGCTCTGAGCAGAAGTTTCTTCAGGATTCAAAATCAATCATCTCACACTGCTGCCTAGTTCCAGCTGATATAAAAAGAGAAAAAAACAAAACAGAGTAATAAACGAGGACTTTCATTAGCTCCACCAGATGGTCACTTAACAGGAGTCCAAGTCTTAGGGAGTTATTTCATACTGATGCCATTTCACCTCTATTTCAATAAAACCAGCCAACATCATCTTTAAACTAAGTCTGCTTATGAAGCAGCGAGTCTGGGCTCCAGTGCAGGCTGAGACTTCAGTTAACAGGATGTACCAGGAAACAAAAGCTGGTGTGATTGTAAAAAAGCCACACAGAGTATAAATCCTTCCATTTCTGGGCCTGTTGCTGAAAGCTTGGTTTTTTGTTGTTTCCTTGACACACAAAGGCCACAGACTCAAACAGGCCAGCTTACATACAGGGCTCCTAGAAAGAGCCATTTTCTTCTGCAGCTGTCCTCAGAAACCAGGCAAACTGATTCCTGATAAAGGGAATCCTCTACTAAGATTGGAGTTACCAAAAATAATTTCCTATTGAAAGCTGATCAAGCTAGGTCGGGAAACATGCAGTGGAGAGGAAAGGAACATACTAAGGTTCAGTCAGCTTTACTATGAAGTTGAGTGACATGTTAGGGAGACAACTCCACTATTTATTATTCCTGAAAGTCAAAAGCATCAAGTCCTAGCTCTTCCCTAAAGGAGAGAGGGATCCTACGTCAGTGGAAAACACAAAAATATAATCAAAAGAGCAAATATCTTCAAGCTTTGGCATCTTGTCCAGTTTGTTTTCTGTAACTACAACCTGCTAGAAAGGGACTCGCAGACATGCCCCCAAGCCTTCAGTGTAGCATCAAGGCTGGTGGGACAGGATGATTTAATTTTTTTTGAGGAGAAACTGGGGATTGAAAAAAGCCTGCCTTGGACCCTGTACACATATTTCACTCTGTATTTGTTTGCAATATGCCTCGTATGTTTGCCTAAGGATGTGGTGCAATGGTCTTCAGCCTCACTCAGAAAAATCAACATTGCACAACACCAGTGGCCTCAGAATATGGCACAGTTTGATTTTTAGGTCAGAGTTCACAGACAAATGACAACGGTAAGTAACAGCAAAGGGAAAAGGAAATAAAGTCAGAAATTAGTCAGGAGAGTTCGGGTTCGACCAGATTACTGACTGGGTTTCCCTCCTAAAACTGTGGCGATGTCAGAAGCGCAGCGTTTGAGTGGCGCACAGACCTACACCTTTCGGGGTGTGATTAGCGCACCCGAGATGCGAACAGAGGCCAGGCGTCGCGGCCGTGTCACTGCCTACCCCCGAGGCTCCGCGCCTGACACAAGCCCCTCGCTCCGCCACCGCCGAGCGGTGAGCGCGTCCCGGCCACCTCGGCGAGGCGGGAAAGCCGCCGGGCTCCCGCAGGCGCACCCTCTGCGGCGGGAGCCTCATCCGAGCAAGAAAGGCTGGGGAGCGCTGCCCGACGGCTTTCACCGGCCCCTCCCCAGGCCCTCACACCGCCCTTTCGCTCCTGGCGGGCGGGAGCCCGCGAAGAGCGTCCTCCAGACCCGGCTCTTCCCGACCTTCCCCCCGGAGCGGCTGCCGG